GGTTGTAAACGGAACATTTATGCTAGAACCAGCCCGTGGATTCTGCGTTTCAAGACATGGATGTTTTAGCTGCACGGAAGAGGGAGAGTGTTCCACAGGTCTGCTCTTCTTGGGGGAAAATGATGACGGAGAGTTAGACATACGGCACCTGGTGATAGTCACTTGAAGTGAGTGAGAAGCCGGGACCTACGAGAAAGAGCAAGTGGAACGAAAGAAATGAATTCGTTAGAACAAAACCCCAAATAGTAACACCAGAATAAGGATAAAGAAGTGATTGCTCGATGGTGAACCAGTAAGTGTTAGTTGCATGTTCGTTTTGAGACGAATGGCCTCACGTTGAACCCGATCTAGAAGACAGAGAGCAATGGACGGAGCTCAACCCCCATGCATGACTGAAGTGTTCAAGTATAGAGCAAATCTGAGTTTTGTGAAGCGAGGGAAGGTGAGTAGTAGGTAGTAAATATTGTCACCCATTTGGCAAACGTGTTACATGCCGTATACCGTACAACAGCCTACCCACTCAGAAACGTTAATCCTATCGAATGCCTTATGCACACTTAGGAAACCCAAGGTAATAGTGTGAATTTCCGCCAACTTAACAAACAAACATTTGGGGGTCTGATTCTTAGAGAAAATGCCGTGCAACACAGCTGAAATGCACCCCACTGTTGTCGAATCTCCTAATAGATGGTTCCACCATTCCTAAAGCCACCGCAATATTAGATGATTTTTTGCCATTCGTTTCCAAAGTGTGCGTTTCGGTCGTTGATTTTTCAATTGGTTACTCTGTTATTATCTATACATGTGCTCACTCTCATGTATCTTTAATAGGATACTACTTTGTGACTATATTATTGTTGGAATTTGTTTTCGACTGTTATCACTAACTTGTACCAAACGGGTATTTTTTCCGTCAACGGGTTGTTTCTCATTACTCTATTTCCTCAATTCGAACTTTCAGGGTTCACCGAATCGCAAACTTTCCACATTGGAGAAGCCTCAGCACACTTGTGTTCACGCTACACAACACTCCGTATCAAGTTTGTCCGCTGGTTGGGAAGGCTCGGCTATATTGAGGCACGGATCGTTACTGCAATTTGGCTGTTATCAGTTTGTGCTAGGCCTGGTCGACCACACAATCATGGATCCTTCCGCGGTCGACCCGGATACTCTGGAAAATAATGCCACGGTCGGATCTTCTTCTTCCTCCTCTCCAAACTCTTCACCGTCGTAGCATTGACAGCTCGGTTGAGACAAATATTCATTGTACTTCATTCGATTTTACTGCTTCCATTTGTGAAATATTCATCACTTTGTTTTATGCTCGTGTTCCGCGTTGTTCCATCGAAAATTTACTTCTTTCCATCAGTGCTAAGCATACTTCCTTATTTTGTATGCGATCGGAAGAACAACCCCCCACCACTGTGTACCATCCGATTTGCGTGTTGTACTTTTCCTGTGGTCCACGATTCGTCATTGTTTGTACACTCTCTCTACCATGATGAGCCGTATTGTTTCTGTAATTCCTGAACTGTTTTTGCAGTTAACTTGTCTGCACCTCGGTGTACATTGCTGTGCTGTCTTTTCTGGCCTGAAGGAACAACAGACCGACAAGTAATATAAGTATAACAGGGAAAACATACAAACACAGATCTCACACGTGTCAAAAATGTGTAAGGAATCACACACACACACGTCACTGTTTCTGTTCTCAGTTCATCGAGTGCTAATCTATTCAGGTTGCTCGTTCTGATGTCACGATTGTTCGTACAGATGGGATATGCCAGAAGGAGCTTGTGGTCCGTTGTAATCGCCTGCGTTATACGGTGTCAGTTGTGCAAAAAAATTTAAACGAACTGTCGATGCATGACAGTTTTCCTGATTATGAACTGAACTGATCAAATGGATTGCAATTATTAGACCCGAATCCACATGGGGGACTCCACCTACGTCTCTGTGTGCTCTACCAGCCGGAACCGAGTTAACTGCAGAAAGCGGTAATTGTTCGGGTTATTCTCTTTTTATTGCATAAGAGTAATGGAGGATTTGATTTGTTTATGTGATGAATTCGTCGTGTAAATAATGCGTGAGCTGAAAAGCTGGGAAGCAGTGAACAGCCTTTTCGATCTGGTTGGGTCTCATCAGCAGTGCGAATCCGTCTCATTTTAAATACATACGATATAGCACAACCCATCTTTGCGAGTATCGGTCCTCGCTCATCTCAACACAAACCTCAGCTCAAGCCTCATTTACACGACCAGTACATTTTCTTTTTTACTTCGTTAAAGATTTTATTCTGAATGCAGCTCTGTTCTTGTGCGAGGATAGTGGTGCCGATTTACTCCCAGATAGTGGACTGTCTGATCTGTAGTGCGCAGACGACATTGTATTACTGACTGATGATCCAGATAATTCAAGATAATTCTGGATAATTCAAGTGACAATATAGTTATGCTAATCATGCTAGTTATATCTTTCAAAATGTGATGGGCTACTACAGAACTGGGTTCGTCCAGTGCCTAACCTTACTCTAACCGGTAAACGGTCGGCTGTATACTACAACACTCCGGCTACTGCTAATTTACGGTGCAAAAAATTGGCCACTACGAAAATAAGATCAACTGTCAATTCTGTTGACCACATTGTACTAATTTGGTGGGATATCGTTTAAGCAATGATGAGGTAAAACGCAAAGTTTCGGGTGACCGCCATCTGTGCTGCGAAGTTACATCATTCACTCCGATCAGTTTATGTATCAACCGTGCTGCATTCTGTACCGAACTGATTCGGATAATTCTAACTTGTCAGCGACGGGGAAATCGTTTCAAATCACAAGGTACTCTTTTGCATGATGACCAGTTCTGCCCCTTCCGTGTTGTGTGGTGTCCTGTAATCGTCAGCGTACTCGCAAGGTGTTCCTGTTGATTCGGAGAGATAACTCGATTGCTGCGTGGCTAACAACAATCAGTTTTCTGCTATGCTGCACCCCTCAGGGATTCGAAGAGGTGAGTAATTTCTAGACACTGCGCTATAACATGTCAGTCAATAGTGTCTGCCTTTAAGCGGCATGAAAAACCAGCTGGGATATTGGTGACAAATACGGATCACTCTTCGGTTAAGCGGAGCTGCATGCTACTAGGCGCGTCCCCAAGTTGTGGATAGGGCATTACCCTCACCGAAGAAGGTTAGCTGTGAATAAGTTGTGGCCTACCGTAACAAATAAGCAGTTGCGAACAGAAAGCAGCAGCAGTAACAGGATGTGGTGGGTTTCAGTCTGGTCACCTGGCTCCTGTTTAATAGCCGCATAAGCCCGCTGACGGTGTCGTGACAAAGCTCGATGTGACTAGCCTTTTAAAACTTAAGTAATTGACCCCCTCACTTCCAAGGCGAGGGCTAACTTCCTGCTTCCTTGCAGTTAGCACTTGGTTGCGCAAAGGCTAGACGTGCGCCCTCAAAATAAAAAACGCCGAGTGGCGCTAGGGACGTCTGTCGTATCAAACTCCCAAGGAACTTAATGATTATGTCTGGAACCAAGTGTGAAAAGATCAGTGCTATCGGTGTGGCCTCGTAGCTCACCTGGTAGAGCGTGCGCGTACAAAGCGTAGGTGGCGTCCATGCGTGGGTTGGAATCCCACCGAGGCTGCTGTACTTTTCACAAACGACGTATAACATACTGGTTATTAATCAGTGGTATCAACACAATAGTGTGGTCTGCGTGGAGATCAGGTTTGAATCCAGTAGAACACCTTAGGATTATCCTTATCCGAAAGTTGTACCAACACCCCAAGAGTTAGCATCATGAAACATGAATAAGGGGCATTATTGATTAGGGAGTGGAATAATCTCGATACGAACATGAGTTAAAGTCTCACAGAACAATCAAATGGCTTCTATGCCGGTGGGTGCAATACTTTTGTCGCAATGTAAATAGCTCTTACATTTTTGGTGAAATTAAAGATAATTTGAAGTTTCCTATTCGGTTTTCCTCTAGATTCTCAAAATGGTGCTGATCGTGCATGGGGAAGCGGAGATAATCCAAAGATCTAGGAGGGCGCAGTACCTCGGTCGCGGAGTGAATTCGTTCGTTTGTCCGTTTTCTTTTGTTGTTGCCTGTGTATAATGAAACCGATCGATACGTTCGTTCTCTCATGCACTATTGCCAACAGTATCAGAATAAAAAGATCCAAGAAAAAATATTTTGACTATGAAACACGTCGACGCCATTAAACGTCTTACTTTAAACAAAGATATCACAATCTTTTGACCGGATAAGAAAGGTGGTTGGGTATTATTTGATAGTGCTGATTACCACTCTAAACCGGAAAACGCCGTCAGTGACCCCACCAAATTTTCCGCCAGATCATATGAGAAAGATAACAGAACAAACGGGTTCTGCTTCAACGTCCATTTTGGAAGAACTCAAAATAGAACATCATCATATCACAAGCAATTTTCGAAAATCTTGTACCACCGCCGGGTTTTGGATTCATAACATAATGTTAGTAGGTCTATGGCACATTTAATGAGACTACTTACCTACAGTTGTTCTCAACACTAGTCACAGTGTATTCCATCGTTGGTCCCCGAGAAAAAACAGAGGGTTTATGTTCAGTTGGATGGTGCAGCTGTCAATTATTCGACAACTGTGAGAAGTTGGCTGGACAAAACATTACCACAAAAGTGGATCGAGGTTGACCTAAGCCCCGGTCACTGAAATCTTCAGATTTGACGCCGTGGGACTGCTTTCTCATGGGACTAATTGGAGTCTGTTGTTTACACTCTCCAGCAGCATTACACAATCAAACTGAAAGAAACTATCGCAAAGCATCACTATTGAAGAAACCAGAAAGGTTCATATGAATCTAATAAAGCGAATCGATAAATGTGTTAAGAGCCAAGGACGGTGCTTTGAAGACTTGCTATATATATATATATATATATCATGAATTTTCGTAATTCGAAAATACCTGTTTATTTTCTAATAAATGATAAAATCTCATTCAAACTTGTTGGCTTTTTCTAAAAGGCCAATCAACTCACCTGCGACCCGCTTATACGTAAATTGAGGAAAGTTGACTATAGACCATTCTTCTAGTTTTTCAAATATGCATAAATTTACTACGGTTGCAAGAGCGGTTTAGGATGATGTGTGGACGAGCTTGTGAGATGTGATCACCCGACTGCCATTTAACACAGTCTTCTAGTCAAAGTGCAACTGAACTGCGGCTATAAATTCTACTCAGCACTGTGTTTCGGTCTTAGCAACTCATCTGGCAATATGTGATACATTGGACACACGAGCCGGGGATTATCAAAACGTCCAGTGACCTTCCCTATAATAACAGTCAGGTGCATTTGCAGCTCGGTCATCTCAATAATGGCAGGCATGTTGTGAACAAATTGGAGCATTCAAAATAATTCACATTTTCATATATATATATATCCCTGGTTTGTGTGCGAAAGGTATTGGAATGCGCCTTTTAACCACTGCGATTTGCATTTTCAATCATGAACTATGCAAGCAAAAGGAGCTTTTCCATACAGTGTTGTTTTCCTGGCTTGGATAGCGGAGTGTATTGTATTGAAGCTCTAGCGAGTTATATACAAGCATTCAGCCATAAAGTACAAAAAGCAAAACATCAACTCTCCTCCCCACCAGCGGCCCCTAACTAGTATCATTTAACACAATCTTAATAGTCCATCCGATTTTTAGCTCTTTTGTCCTTTCCCCATTAGATCACAAGCTGTGCATAACACATGGTTTCTAGCATATCGTACGCCACTTTGTCCCACTCTTTCTACCTAGCTTACAACTTTCATCAACGTTTTATTCACCCCATCTGTGGTGTTCCTAACCTAGGGGATAACGCCAACCAAGGAGCGATGCGTTTCAGTTTCTAGTCAACGAACCACAGGCCAACCGTGCCGACCACTCAGAAGTTGAGCGGTCCAAACAGAAGCTGCATAACATCAACAATACACGCAGGCCATTGGTGGATATCTGTATCACCAATAAACTTCTTTTGTGCATGTTATTTATTTCCATTGATTTCTTTCAATAAACGAACTGCTACTTCTCTGGCCTTTTGCGGTGTCTCGGTGACGGGAGATTCCATCGTATAGGTAGGTGTTAGTGCAGTTCAGTGTTTCACTTGCGTCTGTGATTCGCGGTTCCTAATCTGTACCTACTTTGACCACTACATCACCTCTCTACTGTTATTTTTTTTCATTTGT